CCAGTCTGACCCCTCCCAGCTCCCTCAGCTGCTCCTCACAGGAATTGTGCTCCAGACCCTTCCCCCAGCTCCGTTCCCTTCCCTGGTCATGCCTCAGCCCCTCAGTGTCCTTCTTGCAGTGAGAGGTCCAAACTGACCCCAGGATTCGAGGTGCAGCCTCACCAGTGCCCAGTATAGGGGGATGATCCCTGCCCTGGTCCTGCTGGCCACACTGTTCCTGATGCAGGCCAGGATGCTGTTGGCCTTCTTGGCCAGCTGGGCACATGCTGGCCCATATTCAGCTGCCATCGGACAACACCCCCAGGTCCTTTCCCGCCAGGGAGCTTTCCAGCCCCTCATCCCCAAGCCTGTAGCACTGCAGGGGGTTGTTGTGCCCCAAATGTAGGACCTGGCACTTGGCCTTGTTGATCCTCATACAGTGGCCTCGGACCATGGATCCAGCCTGTCCAGATCCCTCTGCAGAGCTGTCTTGCCCTCAGGCCAAGCACATCACATTAGAGGTTTCCTCTCTCAACCCAGACACCTGTGGAAGCTTTGAGGACAGTCCCAGTTTGGCCACAGGAAAATGCTCCCCTCTGGCAAACAGGCACAGACTGAAGAAAGTCACAGAACAAAAATTAAGTAGAACAGTGCCTATTTGTAAGCTTTAAACAATTTTGAAAGTAGCAGAGAAGAAAATGCTGTCTACACTAAGGGGTAAAAAGTCAGGAAGAAGGGAAGGGTGGGGGAGGGAATTTTAGGATCACAGAATGGTTTGGGTTGGAAGGGACCTTAAAGATCATCCAGTTCCAATCCCCCTGCCATGGGCAGGGACACCCTCCACTACACCAGGTTGCTCTGGTTTGACCTCTCACCTTTCTATTCCGATTTGATTGGGAACTAACGAAATTGATTTTTTCCCCATGTGAAGTCTGCTTTGCCCATCACCATGACTGGCAAGTGCTCCCTCCCTGCCCTTGTCTCGACCCACCAGCCTTTCCTTCCGTTTTCTCCTCCCCATCCCACTGGGGAAGGAGTGAGTGGGTGGCTGCGTGGTGCTGAGCTGCCGGCACCAGGACACCACCAGCGTCAGGGCGCAAAGGTTTGGCAGAAATTACCTCCAGCACTACAGGTCCAGTCAGATCCTCCATATTATACCTTTTTCATGTGCGAGCCATCAGCTACCTAATCAAAATTTTAAGCATAAGAACCAAGAAACAACCTTATTTTCTAATTGCAGTTTCAGGTCACAGGTCATGTTTTCTCTCTTAAAACCCTGCGTTGTCACCAGCAGCAAAAGTAAGAAGTTAATTTTGCTTTGGGTAAGAGGCAAAAGTAAGAAAATATCCAACCTTACACTGTGTATTTTGACAGCATCTGCTTTATAGAACTCATATCTCTGTTTACTATTAAAAAGCTCTTATTTGCTGAAGCATTCCCAGACCATATGTTATCAACAAATGTTACTAACCAAATACAAACAGTAATTTTCATTAGGTTTCCTTCATGAGAACAACATTAACCACAAAGGGAATAAATGTTTCAAATGACAGTAAACATACATAGCAAACCCTTGACAACACTGTGGTGCTTACATATTCATACCCCCAAAAGCCCTGAAAAGATCTGCGCCAACACACAGAGACCCTCCAAAGTTGGGTTTTGTGCAGGTTGAAGCCTGCGGTGATGTCATTAGTTGCCATAGAGATGCTCAGCATAAGGCCATAATTCATGTCACTGAAACATCATTTGTATTCAATTTAAGTACGCAGCTTATCTGTGCTGTGTATTAAATTATTGTTCAGAAAATTAGCTCTGGACAGTAGTCAGGTGTTAGGATCTTCAGAGGGACTAACAATGCAATGGTTTTGTTTCCATATTTAATAATCAAGCAAGTTATCACTGCAGGAGTTTATTTGTTGGGAAAGTGTCTTGGGACCTGTTCTGGACAAATATTTTCATGAAGCAGCCTCACTATCTTGTCCCCATATCACAGAGCTCATGCTAACACTTCAAAGCAATAATACATCTGCAAACGAGGACAAATAATGTCATTCTGGCCAAAAGGATGTATCTCTCTCCTGTGTTTACACACATATACATGCACAGAAAAGTACACAAGCAGAAAAATCCTGACAGTACTTTCTCAGCCAGGACCGTATTAACTATCTGAATCCCACCTGAAACCCTCAGCCCAGCATTTCTTATTGCCCGATGTATCCCAAAGCCTGGAGCTGACCAAGAAATGGTGACGTGCGTAGGGGCTTTGCCCTGTTCATGGCATCTCTGCTGTTCCGGTGAGGCTCCAGGGTTAGACAGCAGACTTAAGGTGAGAAGTTAAACTCTTCTGGCTGCAAAGAGCCAGAGGTTGGGATATGCCCCAGGCAAACGCTGACTCTTGTTTTCCCTTTTACAAGCCAAATAAGTAGATCATCACTGTAGACTGTGTCTACGGATTCACCTAGAGATGCTGTCACAGTTACCAGACAAACAGCCTAAAGTGCTGAGATTTTACCCAGAAGGTGTGAGTAGGCAACAAGAGGCAAAGGTCAGCCTTGTCCCTCACTACCTCCATGGGCTTGTCCCACGTGGAGCACACAAAGGTTGGGCTTACCTGCCTGATCTTGGGAGCTCTCACAGGCACTGTCCTTGCTGGCAGAGAGGGAAAGCGATGCCATTGTCCATGCAGGTGCCAGGCTGTTCAGACCGAGCTGCTGGCAGCTGTTTCAAGCAACGCGCTGGTGATCTTCTGGCAAACCTTCAGGCTGATGCTACTTAGCCCTTCCCAACTTAGGGACAAAACAAGACCACCAAGGCTCCTTAGCTTGCTGCTGTACCAAGCTCTTACCCTTTCCTGCCATAAGGTCCCTGCAGAAACAACTGCTGTCACCCTATGGATGTGAAGTGCTTTACATCCTGACCTTTGGCTGTAGCCTCTGAGTGCTACCAAAATGCAGACACAGCAATTACAAAGTTAAATCACTGCATTGCCAAAATGAAAAAAAATCATTAAAATGCCACAGCACTGCTATGTTACAGTGTGTGATTAAAAAAGTATTTGGGATACGAATAAAGCTTGAGCCAAGCCCTGCGAGGGTCCTTGTCCTGACTGCACTCACGGATCACATGAAAGCAGGCAGCAGGGTCTCTGACTCCAGCTGCTTTTCTCCATGATATCCCACTTACATGGCCTAATATACGATTTTCTTGGCTGTCCCTGAGAGACATTGACTGAGTTATTTCTATTCACCTCTTTTTAGCACCCATGACCTTCTCACAAGTGAATATACATGTTAATACCCAGGAGAACGCACTGTTCTCCAGCGAGTCTGTGTAGCCCCTGCCCCACTTGAATCAGTCGCCCTTCTTCCATCACCGCTCCTGTAGCTGGATCTAGCCAGAACACTGATGCCTGTGATTTCTATAAATAATGAACAAGTGCAACTGCATCATACTGCTGGGCCATGAATCAGCCCTGCTAACCAGCTCGGCCTGTCAGTGGGCTAACAGGGGAGCAGCTGGAGAGTGATGTCCTTTCAACGGGGCTGACATTTAAATGTGATCTATGACCAGCTCTCATGGGCTTCAAAACTGCCAGAGGACACCTTTTCTCCCTCTCCAGATATATTTAGTGAAACGTGTTTGCTGGCCAGCTTACATGAAATAAAAGTGGGAAAATACCAGAAAATAAAGGTAAAAATGTGAATTAAAGGAGAGCTACACTCTTCCCTCAGTGGGTTCACTCCAGGCGTGCATTACTCCGTGTACACAGCAGCATCCTGGGACACGGCACCACTCTGCAGGAGATGCTTCCCTTCTGCCT